GTCTGTGTTTTGCTTGTGTGTGTGTGTCTGCTCAGGGTGTTTTGTTTGTGTGTGTGTCTGCTCAGTGTTTTGTTTGTGTATGTGTGTCTGCTCAGGGTGTTTTGTTTGTGTGTGTGTGTCTGTTCAGGGTGTTTTGTTTGTGTGTGTGTGTCTGCTCAGGGTGTTTTGTTTGTGTGTGTGTGTCTGCTCAGGGTGTTTTGTTTGTGTGTGTGTCTGCTCAGGGTGTTTTGTTTGTGTGTGTGTGTCTGCTCAGGGTGTTTTGTTTGTGTGTGTGTCTGCTCAGGGTGTTTTGTTTGTGTGTGTGTCTGCTCAGGGTGTTTTGTTTGTGTGTGTGTGTCTGCTCAGGGTGTTTTGTTTGTGTGTGTGTCTGTTCAGGGTGTTTTGTTTGTGTGTGTGTGTCTGTTCAGGGTGTTTTGTTTGTGTGTGTGTGTCTGTTCAGGGTGTTTTGTTTGTGTGTGTGTGTCTGTTCAGGGTGTTTTGTTTGTGTGTGTGTTCAGGGTGTTTTGTTTGTGTGTGTGTGTTTGTTGTGGGTGTTTTTTTGTGGGGGTGTTGTTCAGGGTGTTTTGTTTGTGTGTGTGTCTGCTCAGTGTGTTTTGTGTGTGTGTGTGTCTGTTCAGGGTGTTTTGTTTGTGTGTGTGTCTGCTTAGGGTGTTTTGTTTGTGTGTGTGTGTCTGTTCACGATGTTTTGTTTGTGTGCGTGTCTGCTCGGGGTGTTTTGTTTGTGTGTGTGTGTCTGCTCAGGGTGTTTTGTTTGTGTGTGTGTGTCTGCTCAGGGTGTTTTGTTTGTGTGTGTGTCTGCTCAGGGTGTTTTGTTTGTGTGTGTCTGTTCAGGGTGTTTTGTTTGTGTGTGTGTCTGTTCAGGGTGTTTTGTTTGTGTGTGTGTGTCTGCTCAGGGTGTTTTGTTTGTGTGTGTGTCTGCTCAGGGTGTTTTGTTTGTGTGTGTGTCTGCTCAGGGTGTTTTGTTTGTGTGTGTGTGTCTGCTCAGGGTGTTTTGTTTGTGTGTGTGTGTCTGCTCAGGGTGTTTTGTTTGTGTGTGTGTCTGTTCAGGGTGTTTTGTTTGTGTGTGTGTCTGTTCAGGGTGTTTTGTTTGTGTGTGTGTCTGTTCAGGGTGTTTTGTTTGTGTGCGTGTCTGTTCAGGGTGTTTTGTTTGTGTGCGTGTCTGTTCAGGGTGTTTTGTTTGTGTGCGTGTCTGCTCAGGGTGTTTTGTTTGTGTGTGTGTCTGTTCAGGGTGTTTTGTTTGTGTGTGCGTGTCTGCTCAGGGTGTTTTGTTTGTGTGTGTGTCTGCTCAGGGTGTTTTGTTTGTGTGTGTGTGTCTGCTCAGGGTGTTTTGTTTGTGTGTGTGTCTGTTCAGGGTGTTTTGTTTGTGTGTGTGTCTGCTCAGGGTGTTTTGTTTGTGTGTGTGTCTGCTCAGGGTGTTTTGTTTGTGTGTGTGTCTGCTCAGGGTGTTTTGTTTGTGTGCGTGTCTGCTCAGGGTGTTTTGTTTGTGTGTGTGTCTGTTCAGGGTGTTTTGTTTGTGTTTGTCTGTTCAGGGTGTTTTGTTTGTGTGCGTGTCTGCTCAGGGTGTTTTGTTTGTGTGTGTGTCTGTTCAGGGTGTTTTGTTTGTGTGTGTGTGTCTGTTCTCAGGGTGTTTTGTTTGTGTGTGTGTGTCTGCTCAGGGTGTTTTGTTTGTGTGTGTGTCTGCTCAGGGTGTTTTGTTTGTGTGTGTGTCTGCTCAGGGTGTTTTGTTTGTGTGTGTGTCTGCTCAGGGTGTTTTGTTTGTGTGTGTGTCTGCTCAGGGTGTTTTGTTTGTGTGTGTGTGTCTGCTCAGGGTGTTTTGTTTGTGTGCGTGTCTGTTCAGGGTGTTTTGTTTGTGTGCGTGTCTGTTCAGGGTGTTTTGTTTGTGTGTGTGTGTCTGTTCAGGGTGTTTTGTTTGTGTGTGTGTGTCTGTTCAGGGTGTTTTGTTTGTGTGTGTGTGTCTGTTCAGGGTGTTTTGTTTGTGTGCGTGTCTGTTCAGGGTGTTTTGTTTGTGTGAGTGTCTGCTCAGGGTGTTTTGTTTGTGTATGTGTGTGTCTGTTCAGGGTGTTTTGTTTATGTGCGTGTCTGCTCAGGGTGTTTTGTTTGTGTGTGTGTCTGCTCAGGGTGTTTTGTTTGTGTGTGTGTCTGCTCAGGGTGTTTTGTTTGTGTGTGTGTCTGTTCAGGGTGTTTTGTTTATGTGCGTGTCTGCTCAGGGTGTTTTGTTTGTGTGTGTGTCTGCTCAGGGTGTTTTGTTTGTGTGTGTGTCTGCTCAGGGTGTTTTGTTTGTGTGTGTGTCTGCTCAGGGTGTTTTGTTTGTGTGTGTGTCTGTTCAGGGTGTTTTGTTTGTGTGTGCGTGTCTGCTCAGGGTGTTTTGTTTGTGTGTGTGTCTGCTCAGGGTGTTTTGTTTGTGTGTGTGTCTGCTCAGGGTGTTTTGTTTGTGTGTGTGTCTGCTCAGGGTGTTTTGTTTGTGTGTGTGTGTCTGCTCAGGGTGTTTTGTTTGTGTGTGTGTCTGCTCAGGGTGTTTTGTTTGTGTGTGTGTCTGTTCAGGGTGTTTGGTTTGTTTGTGTGTCTGCTCAGGGTGTTTTGTTTGTGTGTGTGTGTCTGCTCAGGGTGTTTTGTTTGTGTGTGTGTGTCTGCTCAGGGTGTTTTGTTTGTGTGTGTGTCTGTTCAGGGTGTTTTGTTTGTTTGTGTGTCTGCTCAGGGTGTTTTGTTTGTGTGTGTGTCTGTTCAGGGTGTTTTGTTTGTGTGTGTGTGCGTGTCTGCTCAGGGTGTTTTGTTTGTGTATGTGTGTGTCTGTTCAGGGTGTTTTGTTTATGTGCGTGTCTGCT